ATCTAAGAACTGGACTTTAAATCTAATCTAACATTTAAAAAATGTTTATAATATTCATAAGATTCAAAGTTACAATCTACCTTTATGTTTTTCCATTCAAAAGTTCAGTTTAGAAATGTTCACCCCCCAACTATTATAAAACATATCATAATGTTATATTAAAAATAAATCAACATGTGCATGCCTTTAATCCCAGTCCTCAGGAGGCAGAAGCAGGTGGATCTCTATGAGATGGAGGCCAGCCTGGTCCACACAGTGACTTCCAGGCAGTCTGGGACTAAGAAAACCCTGTCATAAATAAGAGAAAATAAAATAACGTGAGTGTTTCACAGAGTTTCCCTTTGTTCTCTCAGTCCTCATATTCTCCAGACATGCCCACTGACTGTCACATCTTCATAAGCGATCAGCACTTGTGGCTGCCTTCAGGAAACTCACTTTGGATGTTCCGTGGGTATTCCTCTTACATTCCCCATGTCATGAACTTTCTTCTTTATTTCCTCTCTAAACCTAGAAATTCCAGAATTCTTGGTTTTTCCCCTCCCATGCTCTTCTCCAATGTCCAGTCATTCCACAAATTTACTTAGTCTATGCTCTCTCTACCTACTCTGGAGTGTTCCCACCCGGGGCATTCTTACCATTGTTCAACCTTCTTAAGCCCTTACTCCTATTGTCTATAGCTTCATTCTTTCCAAAACTTGTGCCACCTTATGCCTCCTCCTCAGAGTCCAGATTGACAAAAGGCTCTTACTAAAGTTTCACTCTCCTATTCCTCTCTTCAGCTCCCTCCACGCATGATAAGGTTGTATAATTTCATGTACATTTTCTTTTCCATTTCCACATTGTTAAACGCTGACCCCCTCCAAAAGTCTCATTCTTATTATTCTTAACATTGTTTTTCCATATCATTTTCACATGGTTCCAGATTAAAGTTACCCAACAGAAATATACGATGAGCCCTATGTGTAATTTTCAAATTGCAATTTTATAAGAACTAAAGAGAGATAGAGAAATAATTCTAAGAATGTATTTCCCCTTAATCCAACGCAGCAAAATATTATCCTGTCATTGCGTAATTGGAAGAGAAATTATGGACAATTTTACTTTTATTTCATCCTGTCTTCAAAATCCATAGATACTTCTTTTCTTTGATAATAATTGACCTGTCTGTAGTTTAATATATGAAATGTCACAAAGAAACCTACTCCTTTGTATGCTAATTAAAAGTAAAATTAAAAACAAAAATAAATTCACATAATACTCAAATTGTCGCAAACATACTCATGAAACTTCTCATAACTACTCTGTAGTAAAGAAAGTACAAAATATTTAAAATTGACTGAATATATTAATTTTGAAAATGTATACTTCAGGGGCTGGAGGGATTTCTCAGTAGTTAGCAGCACTGACTGCTCTTACAGAAGGCCTGGGTTTGATTCCCAACACCCACATGGTAGCTAACAATCATCTGTAACTCCAGTTCCAGGGGATTTTATGCCTTCTTCTGACCTCCACTGGCATTGCACAACACAGATGCACTTACACAGATACAGCAATACATTCACACACATGAAATAAAAATAATAAATAAAATATTTTTAAAAAGGAAAATGTATACTTCCTACTAAAGTAAAGATTTTGAATGTTGAATGTTATTTTTTGTTATTTTTCCTGTAAATATATTCCTAACAAAACCTAAATTTATCAACTAGTGGTTTCTTTTCAAATATAATGAGGAATAAATATCTTTTTTATTAAATTATTCACATAAACAGACATTTAAACATTATCACCACTGGAATATACAGAACTTTATTTTCTGTGTTGCTTTTATAATTATGTATGTATGTACATGTACATATATACACATACACATACATATATAAATCTTACAGTCTATTGGAATTCTGTATTCTGCTTTTATCACACAATTCCTATCATTTCTTGTTTTCAATTCTGTATATTCTTTGTAAAGTCATCAGTGGTTAATAGTCCAGTGAATGTGACATATCAAAATTACCTCCCACTATTCAGCATTTAATTCATTTCTACATTTATATCCTTCATACATGAAGTTTTCACTTTTCGATTTTTGCTTAGACTAACTTTCCATTTATTAAATTTTTTAATAGGCATGTTACAAATTTTTATCTGCTTCCTTATGTGAATTGTTAAATTCATCTTTAAAATACCTTTTCACTGATTTATACTTACTACAAAAGTAATATTGTTTAATAGTACTTAAAGATATTAACAACATTTTTAAGTCCCTAAAGGAAATAAAGATACAAAGAAATATTTTGATATGTTAATAATGCTATAATTTTAGACAAAAACAATACATAGAAATATTTTGACATGTTAATAATTCTGTAATTTTAGACAAAACAGACTAAGTTATACAAAATTGGAAGAATGCCAGATGCAAATTCGTAGTAATCTGTTTATGCCTACTAAATTAAATAAGAAAACTGTTTCCATCCCCCATATACCTAACAGTGGAAATCAAACAAAACATTCCGTTTATTATTGTAGATTTAATAGGTTTCACCCAATGTCTGTGTTTTACTTTTATTTTTATTTAGTTAAAAAGAGAATAAAAGAAAAGATTTTTTGATAATTCCCTGAGCAACTACATGGTGATGTGAAAAAAAATTAATTCAACTAAATGCCATCCTCTACCATGCACTGACGCAGCCAGAAGTGGATGCCACAACAACAAAACAGTAGAAGAGTTAGAAAAAAAAATCCTAAGACTGTCACTACTATAAACAAAAGACAGTTTTGAAGGGATTGAAACAATGCAATTGTTCAATAAAAAATATATTTCATAGTACACAAAATTCACATGTAGTACAAAATTTAATAAAGCTATAGAGAAAATCTGACATAAAAGACACACTTGCAAAGATGTATAATCCCCAAAATATTTAAAGGATTTTTATTTTCATCCCAAGAAATAGCCAAAGGATAATTTATGCATGATGAAGTCCAAACAGCAAATGAGGCCATGAAAGCAAGTCTTCCAGATTTCACTGGGATCAGAGAAGTTGAAGCAGGAGTGCAGCACACACCAAATAAAATTCACTAAACACACAATTGTTTTGTTTGCCTTGTGGTCATATGACCATAAAAACATAAAGTTTTGTTCATGCAGCAGATGTGGTCTTGGACAAGATTAGCTGCCTTGCCCTTGTCTTTCCAAATATTCTGGTTGGCTTCGTACATTAATTTTTCCAAATTAGTTTCACAGTATTTCTTCCTTTTATTTTCTGATTTATGTTACACTACACAGAATGGTCTCGGGACAGCTCCTTTTATGAAATTTAATTCTTAAGTATTTCTGCTCCCTCAAAAAGAATCTTCATTCCCAAATGTGCAATCTTTTATTCATTTTCTTCCCTTCTACCCCTGTCCCTTTTTTAAGAGAGCAGATGTTGCTATGTGTCTGTGACAAATAGCCCTCCTCCCTCAAGTACTGGATAATTAAAGTTTGATTCCCTCCCACAGTCCACCTGCCACCACCTCAGACAAGAAGCAGAGCTTTCATTATTGAAATAGAAATACAATGTTTTCAGTATTTTCAGTATGGGGGTGGGGAATCATTCTAGGAAAACAAAACTTTCACTCTCTTGCATATAATATTTAACATACATATATCAAAATGTGTAAAATAAATAGAACTCAGGGGGCTAACAACTAGTATTCAAATTGTGCTATGCTAAGGAGAGGGAAAGGGCAAAGTGGAAGAATATAGGTACAAGGATAAAGAATCTAGGGTACAAGCTAGACAGATAGCTCAGCAGTTAAAGGCATGTACTACTCATCAGGAGGACTCAAGTTTGGTCCCAGCACCCACATCAGGTAGCTCACAATGCCTGTAATTCCAGTTCTGGGGAATCCAATGCCTCTGACCTCATCAGGCACTTATACTCATGTACCTAAACCCACACACATACATATAGTAAAAATGAAAAATCTTTTCTTTTAAAAAAATCTAAGATGCTCAGATTAAAGCTATAGGCCCTGACAACACAGTTTTTACAACAGGATGAAGGAAATTCACAATTCAAGAACGTACATTCCAAGGCTACAGGCAACACAGGGTGTAGTAGACTATCCTGCAGAATACTGATCAAATCTCACAGGAACATGACTACCAAAGCCCAAAGCACTCTTTTCTAAGCACACAAAACTAAAACAGGAAAATCAGCACAATCAATATTCCTCTCCATTATCTATTCATTTATCCATTGAACAAATATTAATAACAGTTGCCTACTCAGATGCCCCTATTTCCTTTTTATAATGTTTATTAATATTTAATTTATTTACACTTATTTGTTTTTATTTTTTATTAATAACAGTGCCTACTCAGAACCCTCTATTTCCCTTTTATGCATTTTTGCTACTATTTAATTCATTCCACATTTTATTTATTTATGTGTCTCTGTGTATGTTTGTATGTGTATGCCATGTGTGGAAGTGCCTGTGGGGGTCAGAAAAAAGTATGAGATGCCCTGAAGCTGGAGTTACAGGCAGTTATGAACTTCCCAACATGGCCGCTGGGAACCAAACCAGTTCTCTGCAAGAACAACTGCTCTTAACCACTGAGCCATCTCTCTAGTCCCTATTTTCATTTATTTTAATCCAGTTGCATATTGATAAAGTATTTGTTTATGGGTACATAAATAATCCAAAACAGAGGGGATAATCATCTGTACTCCAATGGTAAACATCATCATATCCAAAGCCTGGAGTGCAACATTGGCACTATTTTCAATCATAAGAGGGGGAAAAGGCAATTTTCATTCCTTTTATAATTTCCGTTTTTTTCTGACATTTTTGCCTCTGAACAGAACACAAATTCAGCATCAATATAACAATCCAACTAATACTGTTTTTCTGATATTTGGAAAAAATTGTAACTCAGTATTAAATTATTACATATCTGTGTTTCTAGTCTTGTCACCCAATTTTAATTCTTTGGTATTTTTCACTAGCTGCTTTCCAGTTGGGTCTCGTGGAAAGAGAAATAAATGACTTGCTACAGGGAATACATCAAGTTCAAACTTCCCAACTACAAATAAGTGAACAGAAGACACATGTGGAAGAAGATGGGTACGTTACACAAAAAGATATCAGCACAGAGGACATCTGCCCTATTTGTCAAGAAGTGCTGTTAGAGAAAAGGCTTCCTGTCACCTTTTGCAGGTGATGAAGTTGTCTTCGGACTTAAAATCTTGTGAAAACATTCTAATTTAGTATGCTCATAACTAATTGCATTATGAGATTTATTGATAGAAGAAATAAAAGCTGGGGCCTGAAACAGCTCAGCAGTTAAGAGTCCTCACTGCTCTTGCAGAGGATGGGTTTTGTTCCTAACACCCATGTTGGCTGACTCACAGCCACTTGTAACTCCAGCTCCAGGGGCTATGGTGTCCCTCCAGGAACTGCTCTCTCTCTCTCTCTCTCTCTCTCTCTCTCTCTCTCTCTCTCTCTCTCTCACACACACACACACATTTAAAATAATAAAAATAAACCTTAAATATTTCTGGGCTACATTTTTTTTTGGTCTTTTTGAGACAGGGTCTCCCTGTAGCCCCAGCTGTCCTGGAACTCACTATGTAGACCAGGCTGGCCTTGAACTCACAGAGATCCTCCCGCCTCTGTCTCCCGAGTGCTGGGATTAAAAGCATGTGCCCACCACGCCCGGCTTCTGGGCTACATCTTTAAGAGTGAAATTTGAAAGCATCATTCCATAATTATACTTCCCTCCACTTTACATAATTAAAGTAGGATCATTTTTGCTTGATTTTGGTTTTTCTTTAAAAGCTTATGTATTTAGGGGTTTGCAGTGAGCACACACATGCCATGGCACATGTGGGAGGTTGTTCCAGGGATCCAACTGAGGTCGTTAGACTTGTCAGCAGATCCCAGTCCTTGGTTTTTCTTATTCTAAATAAATGACATGCCTACAGAGAAAGTTTTCTGAAAATAAAGGTTATTTTATTTTGAAATTATAACATGACTGCAGAAAGTTTTCTGAAAATAAAGGTTATTTTATTTTGAAATTATAAAATTTCAGTTTAAAAAATTATATCCGCAAACCTAAATAGTTCAATATTTTATTTAGTAAAAATCTTCAAGAGAATCGTAGCATTTGGAAGTCAGACTTAGAAAATTTAGGCAGCCATTTGCCATGGAGATTTTTCATTCTTTTGTTCTCCTGTATACTTATCAAATTTTTCACCTGTTTTGCAGTTTTTCCATGGTCGCTTCTACTGACTATTGAAAGATTAATGACTCCCCCAGATATTATTTCTCTCAGCTATTTAAGATACTGCATGATCTCCTTAAAAAGAGAAAGAAAGAAACAGGGCAGCACTACACTCTCTATTTAAAGAATTATCATTATAATTTTCCTTTGTTCTTACTTTATGAATGAAAAATGATTTTATGGAATAAAATATTTTACCAGTTCCTTGAAATGAGGAAATATTTATATTTGGAATGCTGATAAATATGGTAACCTAGATGTTTGTATATTTGTAATCCAGCTGTATCTGGAAATCTGTTCAAAGTCTATTTTTATAAGGAATAAATATGTTACCAGAGAAATTTTAATTCACATAAATATTTATAACAAATATATAATGTAAATACAAAACTTGTCTGCATGCACATGTTCAACTTCAATTTTATTTCTGTTAGGTTTGGCTGTGGCAATAACGTTCATATAAAATGCATGAAGATCCTAGCCAGTTATCAAGATACGATATCCAACACTTCCATGTTGAAATGTCCTCTGTGCAGGGAAGAGTTTGCACCATTAAAACTTATTTTGGAGGAACTCAAAAATGCTAACAAACTTGTGACTACATCTGAGAGAGAACGACTAGACAAACACCTTGGAATTCCCTGTAATAGCTGTAAGCAACTTCCAATCGAGGGAAAGTGCTACAAGTAAGTTGTCAGTAAAATCATGCACACCTCTTTACGTTGACAAACCTCTGAACACTAGAGTGCCTGTCCTTTGAGCTGTCCTCTCTCTCCTTTACACATTATGTTCACCTTATGTGATGAAGGTTTTATGGGGATTTCACTTGTTTTCCTCACTTTGGCAAGACCATTGATTGGGTTTCCATTCGGGTCTAGGTTGAGGATGAAGTAGCATCCTTTAAGCTCTGACACTGGCCTTACTCATTGCTTTGGCCTAAATGACTTTCCAAGCTCAGATCTCTTGCACCCTATGACGCTGTAGACCACCAATGAGTTCATCGCCAAAGTCTCCTAATGGTAGTAGAAGGATATTGATTAGATTCAATTTTTAATCCAATTCCACCTAGTCCAAATTGCAGTCTTTTTTCTACCAATGTTGAATATCGGTTTTGTTTTCACTCATACATTTTACCTCAATAACAACAAAAGCAAAATAATTAGTAGAACAAACAATTTTTGCTGCTTTTATGTGTTACCCTGAAAACTTCCTACAGTTCCCACAACAGAACAACTGTTATACCTGGGAAACTTTATTTTCTTAAATAAAAATTTTAAGTCAACAGTATTAAGAAGAAAATAATTTTGTTTCAATATTATTTTTTTTCTGAAACATATCAGTGTACTTTTCAGTTTTCCAAAAATTATTTTATGATGAGCCCAATTAAATGTCTTTAAACTTTCTCATAAAATCAGAACCTTTTTTTTTTTGTCTTTTTGAGACAGGGTCTCCCTGTAGCCCCAGCTGTCCTGGAACTCACTATGTAGACCAGGCTGGCCTTGAACTCAGAGA